GCAGAGATATGTTCCGACAAGGGCGATTGCTGCGCCGGTCCAATCGGGAAGCGCCGAGCAATCCAATAACAAATTGACGCTGGGAGGCCGCCCGACCAAGGGCGAACGGGAACCGAGCGGCACTTTCGAAATTTGAGCCTGAGTCCTGCCAGAAGCCTCGCAAACTTGCAGATGCTCGCCACTATGTGGAGGGTTTCCAATGCTTTAACTGCGCGCCCAACGTCGTCCGAACATGCCCGCGCAATGCCCTTGCCCTGCCTGGCGATGGCGTGCTCGAACCAGTTCAAGACAAGGGCGAAGGCCAGGGACAGGCAGTAAGTAGCCAGAGGGCACCCCTGGATAACTCCGCGAAGAATGACAAGTAAAACGGGCGTCTCCGCGCCAGCGCGGCCGACTGCAAAGACGGACGCGCGAACGGCGCCAATGACACGGACCATCCCCAGGGGCGCTCGAGAGGCAGAATCAGCGAGGAACAACCGCTGGTGAATCGTCGAGGGGGGCGCGCGCCCGCAGTCAGCGAGGAGGAGGAATGGCTGCGGAGGGCTGGCTGCATGGCGCATGCTCTGTCGTGAGAACCAAGATCTACGACGCTGCCAAACAATTTTTGGCCCGCCACGAATCCGTTCTGCAGTCGAGAAGCTTCCTCTGCGAGCGCATGCTTGATGGGTGAGCGGGTGGGCCCGCGTGTGATTTTGGCGTCAGAGCTCTCGGACCCAGTCGGTCTGGTCGACATGGGCCCCCGCGCGACTGCGCGGTCGTCATCATCTTGGGCGCCCCGTCGGGGTGGAAATGGCGAGGGCGCCATTGAAACCGACTGGAAGGGGGGGTGCAGGCCAGGTGAGATCCCCAGCTCCCACTTGATGGGGGAGGGCCCAAGCTGGAGGTCCAGCATGAAAGCCACGCACAATACGGGATGCCATCGACACCTGGCGCTGCCTGCCGCGCGCGACGGAAGAGTCTGTGGACGTCGACGGAGGACGGTGGGCCGCTGTAGCCGCGCGCGGTGAAGTCCGAGGAGAAGCGCGCGGCAACCGAGCGGGTGAGATTCTCATTGATGGGGGCCACTGTGGAGAATGCCAGCTCCCATGCGTGCGCGAGCGTCTGCATCTGCTCCACCTCCTCGATGTTCCTGTCGCAGTTGCGGGTCGCTGATGTGGCGCTGTTTGCCGAAAGGTGCCCGAATCCTCCGGGGTTGGTCGAAGGCGGCGCGCCGGCGGCGACTCGCGCAAAGTGGGGCAGGGGGCGCCCGGGATTCATGAAATCGTTGCCCAGGGGCTGCGCCTCTGACGTCGTCGCACAAGGATGAGGGCGTCGACGGATCAAGCAGGCGAACGCGGCGGTGCTCCACGAGGAGGCGCCGCCGAGCATGCTCCGGCTCCCCCAGCAGGGCGAACGCGAGCCTGGCGCCATTGTGCCAGACGGCACGCGCGACAGACGAGCGCGCGGAGGCGCGAGCACCGCGGCCAGCGGCGGGAAGAGCGAGAAGCGCGTTGCCGGGCGCCCGCCCCGCAAACCGGACAAGGCGCTCGAACTCCGCGCGCCGCTGCGGCGCCGGGAGAGACGCAAGGCCAGCGGCGCCCAAGAGCAGCGGACGATCAACAACAACATTCTCAGACAGCAAGGACGGTCAACAACAAGCCGAGGAATAGGGCGAAGACGCCGCGGAAGTCGGCGGCGGCAGGATGACATGAAGGCAACGGGGGCGCGGTCGCTGACCCCCTGCCGATGGCAGAGGAAGGGGCCCGGCAAGAGCCTCGCGCGCAGCCCGAGCTGAAGGGCAAGCCGCGGGGGCGGGGCAAAATAGAGACGATCCAACCGGCCAGGAGATGAACTAGTATAATGAAAATGCGCGTCGAAGGGTCGATGGGCCTCCACGATCTGATCCAGCGCGCGCTGCCGCGTAGCCAGGGTAGGCCCAGCCGCCGGGACACCGCGGCGCAAATGCGCGGGGGGGCTAGGTCCAGAGAAGGATGGTCGGATCAAGCCATTTTGGCTCGAGAGCTCAAGTCTGAGCTCTTCCATGTCTCACTCGCTCGGCAATTTTCGCCATGTGCTGAGATGCAATTGCATATCCAACTTCCTCTTCGAACCGCACCTCGCGCGCCTTGCTGCGATGTCTTCCGCCACTATGCGCGGTCGCGCGCCTGCTTCCGGCGACGTCGACGCGGCCGTCGAGGGCGAGGGCGGCCCCTCCAGACAGAAATCCTGGGGCGCGTGGAAAAAAACATCAGGGGCTTCGCCGAGAAGTCCATGGCGGCCACTGTCAAGTAGGTCAAGGCGTCGGAGGAGAAGTCCGCGCGACGCTTCCACGTCGCGGAGTCCGAACTTGCCGACGCGCGTCGGGCCCAGGCTGAAATCGCGCGCGAGCAGGAGGAGCAGCGGAATATCGTCGCCGAGCTGCAGCGTGCTATTGCTGTGGCGAAGGCCACCGCGCCCATCGGAGACATCCTCGACCTTTCAGAGTTCAACCGGGAAGTCGACAGCGCGACCCCGCGACCCAACGCCCCAGGGCCCGCGGCCAAGGTCGAAATTGCTAACGACATCCGTTCTTGGCTCAATGATGCCGATTGCGCGTCTGATGACAAGGCTGCTCTCCTCGGCCCTGACGCCCCCAAGCGCTTCGCAGTGCAGTTCGCGGGCAAAGCTGGGGCGGCCCGTAATCGAGCCGGAAAGCTCGCGGGATGCTACAATCCAGAGACGGCGAATGGATGCCTTTTCCCAACTGCCAGACTGCATCTGGAGCCGCTCTTTCGCCCATCTACATCGATTGCGAAGGGGGCCGTTGTCGGCAGCGGAGGGAACGCGATGGCAAGCGACTCGCCCGATCTCTTGAGAACCTGCGCCCGAACAAGCATTTCAATTGGAATGAGGTTGACGCGGCCTCATCAAATTCGACGTCGCCCCTCTGGCGCAATTGGGGCCGCGCAACGACGACAACCCGCCACGCGCGCAGTGGAACTTATCACAAGCGGCGGTCGCGCAACTTGACAAAGAGGCTAGTTAAGCAGAGGTTGAGCGCCGCACCCGACGATCCGAACATCAGGCTACGTTGTCTGGGTAGCAAGTTGCAAACCCCCCCTGCGGCCATCAACGGCGTCGGTCGGCTTGTCTCCTGGAGCGCTCGTGCCCTTCGCCAACATCTCCCCCAGCGGCGTCTTTTGAAAGCTCGTCTCCGCCGATATCTTCTGCGCTCTTGACCGTGTACGACATGTTGCTGCCCTCCAGGAAGTTCACGGGACTCCTGAAAAATGTCTCGTTTATTGCATCCGCCTCTTGGCCATGACATGATGTTCCATTCCTTCGCCCCCGACGGCGCTGCCAACTACGCGGAAGAAGACGGATTTGTCGCAGCGCTCGCCCCGGTTCCCCCCCTGGCCCCGACGTTGAATTTGCGCATTCTTCTCCAGCTCCCGGGACGTAGCCGTGTCCATTGGCGATTGCACCTGGGCGCGCTGGAACATGCGCACCGCCGGTTTGGCATCAGCGGGCGCGCAGAGCGCCTCGACAATGACGGCGCGCGATGCTGCCGCAGTCCAGGCTGATCCGCGCAACCTTTTTTCTGCTTGTTGCTGGCGGTTTCAACTTTTTCGCCCCTGGCGGTTTCCGACAAGTGCCCGCCGAGAAGTGCCCGGCGGCCAGCGCCACAGCGGCCGCGTCGGTCGCGCCGAACTAGCTGGCCGCTGCGCGCGCAAGCACGCGCGGGCAAGCGCGGCCGCAGAGGTGCACCAGCCAACTCCAAGCACTCATCGCAATCGCCACCGCATGTGTTATGCAAACCAAATTGCGGGTGAGTGGGTTGGATGACTGCGCAATCAAAAGGGCTGATAATTCACTGCGGACAAACAGAAATTGCACAACATAGGTTGCATGGCATCGGTTCCTGTCTTAAGAGTATGACCCACCCCCTACCCGTGGGCCCTCCCGGTCGACATGCAAATTGCGTACGATGTCGCCCCAACCTTTCAAACGAAATATGGTTTTAAACCATCCCAACTGACCCAGGTTCGACCCCCCTCTCACCCCTGACACACACACACATCCTCTTCTCAAAAATCGCTGGTGTCAAAAAAACCCTGGCACAATGCTGTGACGAAGTGCGCGCGCACGCGTCGTCGCGCGCGCTTGCTGGAATCGTTTTCCACAAAGTCCCACCATTATTTCAAATTCGAATGTCCCGAACACATATCAAACCATATGGCGACGCAAAATGATTGAGCCACAAAGAACAGCCTGCACGAGTTTGTTTTTGTTGTCCGAATCAACAGGTTACTCCAACCTGTTCATCATATGCGGCTTAACCCGTCTCCCACGCACGCACCTCGAGATCATTCGAACGCCCTTTCCGCGCGTGCTGGGGGAGAGGGGACGATCCCCGTCAAAACACACCATGCGGGCGGCACTCGCGCATTTTGGCCGCGCGCCCATGTCAAAACTCCCCCCGAACCTTTATCAGCGACACGTGGGCAACATCATCGTCATCGTCGTGATCAGCATTGGCGCCGTCATTGGCCTTGCCGTCGTCATCGTCATTGTGGTCACCCGCATCGTTAGCATCATCATCAGTGTCTGCCGTTGTCGTTGTCGACGTCGCCATGATACCGCGCACGCCCGAGCCACCGACTCGAACACCACAGAAACTGCACCACGCCAGTTGCACCACATAAATTGTGCCCCCCCCATAGATTTCACCGCAAATAGTTTGCACCACGTAGATTGCGCAGATGCTGCGACGTATACGCTTATACGATATTACTATTCATGTAGATCGTACACACAGATTGCCCCACCCAGATGCCACGACCTATGCTGATACAAACGCACTGTTTACGGTCTACGCTGGCTGACTTTCTCAGAACAGGAGGCCAACGTGCTCGAACAATGCGGTCTCTGCCAGACATGTTGTAAAAACTTTTCGTGCATTCTTTGGTGGGCCAATATGCACGTCAAGACTCTTCGCCACTGCTTGGTTCAAGCCTTCCCCTTCTGGGCCGCAGGCTGGCCTCCTCGGGCTGTGGCAACTCCATGGGGCCCGATGTGCCGCAGCTGGAGCTCGCCGACATCCTCGCATGGGGAATCTTCCGACCCAGCCATTCTCGCGTCGTGAACAAAATCACGACGGAAAAGTGTTGGGCTTTCTTGGCTTCTGGGAGCCCTCGCCAGGCCCCAGGACCGTCAAACAATTATTCGAGGTGAGAAACCAGCCCTGGGGAAATTGGCGGGACTTCCAGGGACCCTGTATTTTTGAACGCCCGCAATGGGTACAGGAGAAATTGGGCACGATACTCTACAACACATGTTGTCCATGTCCAAAGCAGACAGCGGCCGCTGTTGGGCAGGCAGCCTCCTGCCTCAAATGGACAAAGTCCGCGGCGACACCGACAGCGAGTCCTGTTCACAATGAGCAGGACATGTTGACGGTATTCGTGCCCATTCTCTCCGTACCCATAACGATCGTACCCGCCAGTCACAAGATGCAGGTGGAAACGTGAAGTAGGAAGGCAGATGAAGTAGATTGGGTTCGGGCCCGCCCAACGAGTCTCCAAAATCATCACAGGCACGTCGGCTCTTTCATTGAAGTAGGAAGGCATTTGAAGTAGAGTGGGATCTGGGAGTTCAGATGTACCTAGTTTCAACGACGGGCGGATACTGTATTGAACAGTTCAAGACATCGCATATCTGGGACCCTCGGAAGGGGCCGCTCGAGGAGGAAGAGGAGGAGGAGGAGGAGGAGGAGGAACAACGGTACCGGCGTCGCCTGGTAAAGCCTGGGGGTGCGCACAGACAGTCCCCCCTGGTAGTCCAGGCAAACCTCAGCAGGCTCCTGAATGATACTGGGCGGTCTCAACACCCTGGCACCTAGGCGGGAAGTGTTGAGACCGTCGTGACCGAGGGGGTTGGGACCGCCCTGCGCTACTCGGGGGGCCTGTGGAGGCCAGCCGGAACTGCCTCAAAGGGCTGTACGTGCCCAACCCAGTGCCTTACCAATACCGCTAAGCCTCCCTCGTCGCCGCGGCTGGACTCGCCTGAAGTCCTGGTCGGAACGCGCCCCTGGAAAAGCACGGAGAGCGGCGGTATCGGTACCTCATTGTCCGCCCACCCACCAGCCGCCCTCCGACGGAGGGCAATCTCAAGCAGAGGCTACCTCCCTGGATGCTGAGAACACGGGGGAACTGACCTTGCCGAAAATGGCCGCCGAGCCGAGACAGTAGCAAAACTTTCCGTGCCAATGTTTCTTTCCCACAAGGTGGCCGAGCGATCGCTCCAACGGTTGGATCCCGCTAGAGTGCTAGGATGTCAGCCATGGAGGTGCCAGCTAATCTCCCGCCAGAGCTCCGTACATGCATGGGGCCAAGGCGTGACTGGGCCCCGCACGAGATCAATCTGGAGGATGGGGGAAGCGGCTGAGCGAGGGCGAACATGAGATCAGAGGAGGGGTCACGAGTAGCATGCATAACCAGAGGGGACAGGAGGAATAGGAGGAGGACAAGCAACGGGGTGTATGGCGCACAGTGGGGAGTAGTGGGGATCGGAGTGACGGTGAGAGACTGGAATACTGGGCAAGTCGGAGGAATGGCGACGGGCAAGGATGGGAAAAGAGGAGGAGGAGGAGGGAGATCAGAAGGAGAGGGAGACATATTGTTTTCTCCCCATGGGAACAAGGATGCCGCCACTCAGCGTTGCAAGCTCTACACAACAGCGAGATGAGCAAGTCAACTCTCTCAACCAACAACTCGCCATACGAACCCAATCGCGCTACAACTAACACCGTGGGACGAACCCGGCAGGGGGAAGAACGAGGAGGAGTAGGAGAAGGACGGAAGAGGAGGAGGAGGACAGAGAGAGGACATAAGGAAACATACCACGCGAAAACGCCGAGGGGAAAGGACTGAGGAGAAGGAGGCATGGTGAGTGAGAAGGAGGACGAAGAGTGAGGAGGAACGTCAGGGGTTGAGGATATATTCGTCGGGCCACGCGCGTGAAACCACAAACATACGTAGAACCCCGTCCATGTGGAACCCTGCGAGTGCGGAGCCCCATACGTGCGGAACCCATGCCAGTGGGACGCCATGTGCAGGGAGCCCCATGAGCGTGGAATTCTTTGCGTCGCGTGGAAACCCATGCGTATGCAACCCCAAGTGCGCTTCGTGTGTGTAACTGCCCCCCTACGTGCAGAGACCCAGGGCGACCTCGGCCCGACACCAGCGCACTAAGACAGCCGCGCGCTTGAGACGCAGGGTAGAAGCCCATTGGTGCAAACACAACTTGGGGCACAGGGAAAAGCTTCGCATCGCTAGTGCGGAAAACGGGGGGGGGGATTACGCCATGCTACGTTCTCGACCACGGACCCCTTGTTACCCATCGGCCTTGGGGCAGTCTTCGGCGGTCTTCGGCACGAGAGCTGGGCGGTTGTGTTCAACAAGGGGCCCATGATTGAACACCCAAGCCGTGAAGAAGTTACGCTTACGTTGCAGATGTCCCTCCTGGTCCGCCTCGTGGGGCCTGCTGAGGCCAATCAGGACTACCTGGGGGGGGGGGCAGTCTGCGCGCAACCTGAAGCCTCATCAGCCATATAGAAGCTGCGTTTACGTTAGTGCGACGAACTCTATACATATCCACTGCTCCCTGGCCAGGCCCATCCTGAACCCAGGAGGGCGTATACACAGCTCCTGTGTTTAGGATAGGCCTGGCCAGGGAGGAGAGGATATATATATATATATATATATATACAAGACTGCAATGGCGCTTCGCGCCATGCACCTTGGTCCGTGAAGTTTGGCTTGCAGGCGGAATAGCAGGAAGATCAAGCCGACAATTTAGCGATAACTCCTTGTTGCCTTTTCCGGCATCGCCGCTATGATAATGAGATTCGTTATCCTTCCTCCATGCTTTTTTTTCCTCATGTTCGCCATACCCTGCGCATTCTCCCTATCCTCCTCAGCTTTTTTTTGCGGAGGCTCCTCCTGGGAGAGCCTCTGGGGGCCTAAAAAAATGGTCTCAGGCTTTCTTAAGGCCTTCTGGAGGCCTCCTGGGCGTATTCTGGGGGCCTCTGGGGGCTTCCTCGGGCCACCCTGCCTCCAACCACGGTCTCCCTGAACGACCGGGTCACGATTTGGAATGCTTCGGAGGGTGTCTTGGGGCCATCTTGGGCCGCCATGGGGCTCTCTGAGGGCCATCTTGGACCCGTGTTGTGCCGTTTTGGGGCTCTCTTGGACTGCCTGGAAGCCCTTTCGGATGATTGTGGGGCGATTTTGGAGCCTCCCAGGTGGCTTCGGACGCCCAGAAGACCGCCGTCTTGGAGCGTCGGGAAGCCGAAAAGAGGAGAACCCCAAAATTCACCAAAAACTACAGAAAATCAATGATTTTTGCCTCTCTTGGGAGTGCTCTTGGAGGCCTCTTTGGGGCCGTCCTGGAGGCCTCTTGGGCCATCTTGAGGTCACGTCGGTCACTCTTGGAGCGCTCTTGCGCTGTCATGGGGGTCTCTGAGACGTCTCCGATGACCCCCCTGATCGCCCTAGGTGTGCTGGGAAGGCTTGGCAAAACGCCCTGCGAGGCCAGGGGGGCCGCTTCGAGGCCCGTCCGGAGGGTCCCAAAGCCCCAGATCCCGGGAGTCTGGTTTTTGGGGGGGCGGGGGGTGATGGGTTTCCCCCCGCCCGGGCTTACAAATATAGGAAGAGGAATATATATATATATATATAATATATATATATATATATATATATATATATATATATAATATATATTATATCGTCCGATATGTTGCAGACTCTGGTCCTGGGAGTGCAGGCGGGAGTCTGGGAACTGCAGCCCGCGGTTGGGCACGTCAGCGTCCCGCAGCGACGGGGGCAGCAGACCGGCCGCGCCCGCCAGGCCCACCTGCGGACGCAGCACGCTCGGCCGCAGAAGCCTCTCGAGAACGCTCTCCCCCCAACACACACACACACAAACACACAAACGCACACACACACACCTACATACAGACATACCACCCACACATACATTCAACACACACAAACACACAAACACACACACACACACACACGCACACGCACGCTTTTTGGCGACGCAGCCACGCGCGCGGCGTCGCGGCGTAGAACATTTCGGAGAGATGCGAGCACTGGCCCGGATCACGCAACCGGGAGACACGCACAAACACACACACACAAACACACGCGCGCACACACACGCGCACACACACACACACACGCGCAAGACACTTTTCCTCCAGCGGCGAAGTGGCGGTAGCGTTGCGAAACGCTGAGTCCAGACAGGCTTAGGCTGACATCCACGTGGCGCAGCAGATGGGAGGACTGGACAGGGACAGTCCCCTTCAGAAGAACGCGAAACGCGCGTGCATGTGGAAGATGCTTGAAGCCCACACACACAAACAAAACAAACTACTTTGTTGGCGTCGCGGCCACGCGCGCAACTGTTGGCGACTCCGAAGGGTGTGGTTTGTAAGGATACGATGCAATCGGCACCCTGGGGGGCACCCTGGGGAGTGAGCGGGGACCTCGACAGATTTCTCCGCCACGACCCGAGTAGGCCCGACGAGGACAGCGTCGTTCTCCCCAGGCCCAAACGGCGCCGATCGCAAACCACACCTTGGCGTAACCACACCCTTTGCAGTCGCCAAAACGGCGCGGCGCCGACAGTCCTGCATGGAGAATTTTAGGAAGGGCCTCGCCTTCAAGGGTCGAAGGCATCGGCATCTCTTCCTCGGCGGAGGGCAGCGGCAGTTCGGCGGAAATAACACGAGGCCGCCTCCGCCGGCGGAAGCCTGCGGAAGGCCTGCGGAAGCCTGCGGAAGTAAATCTCGGCCTCCCAAGATGAAAGGGGCCCAGGGACACACATGTGAATGGGCACAACCAGGATTCCCCATATGTTTCCCTATGTGTTGGATGTTCGTCTTCCCCTCCACTTCCCGAATCTCCCCACGTACTCCTGGAAATCGACGATTCGTCGTGTCTGTGTGCATTTTCCCTCCAGACAAGGGAGGGCTAGGTTCTGTGGCCCAGGGTTTTGGATCCCGCCGCATGTAGAGAAAGAGAGAGAGAGAGAG